AAACTAGTAGTTTGACATATTGAATTTTTTTTTGTTTTTTGATTTTGTAGTTAATAAAGTAGTAACGAAACAAACATAGAAGTCTTTTACTTCTGTTTCACAACTATTATTTTCATAGGTTCAATGCAGTTTCTCATTTTAGTAATATGCCGTTGAATATTGTTTTTTAGTCGGTTATGAAGCTTATCAGAGGATACAATGGACATCCGAAGGTAGTTAAAAATTGTATTTTCATCTACATAGCAAATGAATGAGCCTACTTCATCTTTTTTCAGATTAATTGGGTGCACCTAGTACATACGATTATGTCGTTTCCGATACTTTTGTATATGACGGTACAAAAGCCACATGGCAATTGGTGCGCTTTCGATTCATGTCGATAACCAACTGACATAAAATACAATAGCTAAAGACGGTTCACGGAAAAGAAAACTGTCGAGTGTGAATTCTACCAAGACACGGAAAAAATTCGTACGAATTTTCTCCGTACGAACAAAACCGTTGTGTCTGATGTGGTGTGGGCAAAGTGCCGTGAGAAAAAATATTTCTCACAGTAGGAGCAATACATGGTTTTGAAATTAAGTAAGCTATGAGAAATACGCTATTTTTCATAGCAGTTGTATAAAAACCTTTTTTCACATGTTGTTGAGATGCGTATCATTAACTTACATTCTATCTTCTGAGACTGAACTGGATATATTACCAGGATTCAGGAACCTAATCTGCAAAAATAAGATCTGAAAAGTACCTATTCCTATAATATTGAAATCACCTACTGAATGAATTATCACAAGTTAGGTCATTCCATTTAAGAATTCTGAGGGTTAATGCGTCATGAGTAATACGTATCAATATAACCTAGTTTAGGTGAAAAAATTGCAGAACTTTTCGCAAACCATTTATCAATAAGAATACTAAATTAGATAATGCAGCAGACCATAAATTTAATCATATTCGTGTTACATGTTTACAACTATAACTATAAATATTCTTACGCTAGTTTTTAGTAACTTAGTTTTTATTTCCACTCAATTTTTACAATTCAACTATACAACTGATAACAACGTACAAAGTCTATCATAAAACAAACTGTAACGCCAATATCATCCACTTATATAGCTCCTTTAAACCTTCTAGAACCGTCCAGATGTTTCTAGATACGGACTGACATTTCTAGACTGTTCTTTCTTTTTCTGCTTCTTTTATTTGTACTTTTACTTATGATGAACGCAGCATAGTGTCAGATGATGGGTGACATTGCATTTCTTCTTTTATTCTTACGTTTCCAATAACAGCCGCAGGCTACTCTAGTGTTCAGGGTAACACTGCTCCCTCTTCTCTGATTATTCGTTTGGAATAACTTGATTACTGCGAACTAGTTGGAGCCAACTGGGAGGATCTGGAACACGGTATGGCGCTAACTTTTTAATGTGAACTACCTTGGGTTTACTTTCCACTGACAACTGAATGAGGCATATATGGTCATTGATTTTCTTGAGGACGGTGTAGGGGCCTTCCCAGTTCCGTTGCAGTTTCTGACAAAGTCCTTTTCGGCACTTGGGATTATACAGAAATACTGGGTGGCCTCTCTTATAATGTGTTCCTGTAGCAGGCATGTCGATTCTTGCTTTTGCTTTGTAACTGTTGACTTTCAAACATTCCCGAGCGAATCCGTAGACCTCTTCTAATATTTTATTATAACATTATATATCCTCCTAAGTTATATATGTACGGGGAAGGTGTATGGCCCTCTTCTTTACCTTACAAAAAGATGACCATGATGAAGTTTCATCTTCCTTCCAGTAATCATCATAGATAGAGTATAACTGGTTGATTCATGTTCAGAACTTCGGTAGGCTAGCAGAAATAGAGGAATTAAAGTGTCCCAGTCCTTTTGGTTCTCGGAGACGAACATTAAAGATACTGGCATATGGTCCTGTGGTACCTTTCTAACATAATGGAGAGGCGTAGTGCGTGTTTTTCTGATGCCCAAAATTTTTATCAATTCTTGCCATAATTCGGATTCAAAATTTCGTCCTTGGTCAGAATGCAATTCCAGAGGGACTCCTTATCTGTCTATGACGTTTGTCATAGAAACCTGCTACTGTCGTCGCTTTCTGATCAGGAAAAGGCATTATTTCAAACCACTTTGAAACATATTCCATAACAATTATCAAGTATTTGTTTCCCCTTTTTGTTAAGAGAAGTGGTCCGAGAATATCTTGCGATTCGTTTAAAAAACTCTTCGGAAAGGTACTGTAACGTTTTACCTCGGCTTCTTATTTTGGGTCATTTTCTGCCATTGCATAGATCACATTTCTCACACCAATCTTCTTTATCCCTTCGGCAAGTAACCCAATAAAATATTTACCAAACTCGTGCCAGTGTCCTTTTAGTACCAAAATATCCTCCTGAACGACTGCTATAAAGCTCTTCCAACACACTTGTGATATGTGATTTCGGCATAACCACTTGGTGGACTACATGAACTCCATCGGAGCTCCCCCACTTTCGGTGCAATAGGCCATCGTGAAGATACAGAGAATACCACTGAAGCCTGTATCTTTTAATAGTTCTACTATATCTCTCCTCCTCCTCCTCCAATATTCAAAAAAAATAAAGATATTGTACCATGTGACGTGCGAACTTCTGCATATTTCTTATAAATTTGGTAAAAATGTTCAGTCATTATAAAATTTCTAACAATTTTTGTTTTTGTTTTAGGAATTGTAACTAATATAGTTGACCCAATATTTTCAACATTCATTGAATGCATTTCATTTACCCAACAAGCACCCATTAAGCCCAGTTAACAGTAGAATATACTCGTATTATCAATGGTTATAACGGTAATGGTATTATTGTCTATTGAACCAAAATTTTAAAACACAGAGTAATAGCTTTACAGTATCTAGAGTCACATTTTTCGCAAAAATTGAAAGATATTGGCCTAGATTCTCTCAATTTTTTCTGATCCGAGACTTGTTCCCGACTTAGGATTCATAGGCAGTGTCCAGTCCTGACATCAATAAATGAGCTTATAAATGGTTTTTTTTTCGGACCAAGCCACACCCAACTTTTTTGGTTTTGAGTTTTTTTTATCTAAATGAGAATATTAACTACCTATTCAAAACTAACCAGTAGTATTGTACTACCGACCGTATTTTTTCTTAATTTTAATTTAAATATATTAATACCTTAAAAAATATATAAAAAAAAATAAAAAAAGACGAACGCACTCGGGATCGAACCCAAATCGTTTGAGTGGCAGTACAGAACGCTAATCGCTACACCAATCAAGATACCTACACGTTGAAATCTCTCTTACCGGATAAATATGGTAGTTGCATTATTGGATTAAGAACGATAAACATTTTTGACATTTTTTGTCGGGATTGGACTTGAATCTTAAGTCAGAACTTTTCTGCATTTTCTACGAACTATCAAAAGAAACTCATTTGCAAATAAATTAAAATCTTTTTTATACCAGCAAGATCACCAACCACATCAAGGTGGACTTTAGGAAACTGTCTAAAGTCCGCGAAATTTCATCTACGTCGTGTATTTGGAAACGCTTAACCTCGCTATGAAAGTCTGTACACCATGCTCGTGCAAATAGAGCCCTGTCAACTCCAGACCGCTGTGCACCATATCAACTGACCCTAATAACCTAATCTCATTGAAAGGATTGCCAGAAAACGATGTCAAAGATGTACCAGTCAACCTGCTCAATCATTATGAGCAACTTATCCAGTTGAATCAGCACTTTTATACATGGTGGTCCAGAGAATATCTCACCGAGCTGCACGTCCAAGGAAAATAGAGATCTCAAGGAGATAAACAGCCACATGTTGTAAGCCTAGTAGTTTTTATAGAGGACAGCACACCTCCATTAAGATGTCCTATGGCGAAAATAACCCAACTTTACCCAAGTAGTGATGTCATAACACGTGTGGTGTCAGTTCGACTAACGGGCAAAACAAACGCTTGCTGTTTAAAGTTTGTATACTGCCAATAGACAGATTTTTTGAAAGCAGAGCTTTCAAGGGGGGCGGTCATGTTCGATGCTTGCCGTTAAATAAAGGTTTCACCTACCATGTGTATAAGTCTTAGTTTCATGTTCTTTTTTTCCTATTGCTGATTGTCAATGAGTTTTTACTGAATGTCACGTCATGTTTTGATACTAAAGAAACATTATCTCCCAAATCGTTTTATATACAGTCCATACAATCGAGTTCGGCCCGCAGCGGAACAACATCTTTTTTATTTGTATTCATGTTTTAGTAAATAATTTTTTCTCTAAAACCTACATTCCAAATTATTAAAACATAAATTTTGCGAAAACCATGAGAGTAATCGAGTATTATCAAGAGTACATTTTTTGTGGTAAATGCGTTAAGCAATCCAAATTTAATACCAAATCCCCTTTTTTTCCATTGGCGTAGAAATTTTAAATGTGCGAATAATAAAAAATCAAGTACTACGCCTATGGAATAATATTAGTAAATAATTTTGATAATTTTTTTTTATTACATAAAACTCTCTCAACGTACTAAACTTAAGCAAAATCGCATAAGCAGTTTTAAAATGATAAAAGAGGAACGATTTAAAATTTGTAACTTCTGGGTCCTCTAGCGAACAAACTTTGTAAATATAGGGGGTAACCCGTGAAATAAATAAAACAAAAAATCTCAACGGTACATCAATAAAAATTCATTTGTCAGTTCTATATTCTGAGATATTCAAGGTGGGTTCTTTTTTAAAAATCATTACCCCCATAAGTTAAAAAACTCAGATGAAATAAGAATTGATCAACAAGAAATGTTTCTAGTAGGCTTTGAAAAAAAGTTCATGTATGTCGTGTGTAAAAATCTTCTACTTTTTAGTGTCATTTTCGATTTAATTCAGAACCGTGCGCAGTTATCATGGACATGACTCGTATCTCCGTAGGAGTACGAAATTAGACTGTTGATCTTAAATATTTTATTTTTATTTTGTAGGTGGCACAGGATGTCTACGTAACAATTCCTAATGGAGCCATTAAGGGTAGAACCGAATATTCCTCGAGGAAAATTTCTTTTCACGCTTTTCAACAAATTCCTTTTGCTAAACCTCCAATTGGTGACCTCAGATTTGCCGTAAGTTTCATTAAATTACTAAACGTATTAGACTGGGTGATCGTTTAGAACATTCAATCATAGATGTCATAAGTTCTTTAATTATTACTTTAATCACGTCAATTTAAAATAACTTTTACATCCATTTTTTATAATAATTATAAAGGTTTCAAAAAAAATTCAATTATAAAAATCGAATGTAATATACACTAAAAATATGTGTTTTTAATTAAATTTTTTCTGAGAAAAATTAAGCAACAAAATAGTAGTTTGAAAAACAATAGAGTATATATAAAGGAAAAAATATTAAATTTTAAACTTAAGTTTTATTTCGGCCTGAGGTGAAATGATTAGATTTTGGACGAAGACGGAACATCTGGGGGGTACTTTATGGGAGGCCTTTTTTATATTTTTGGAATATATATTATAGAAAAATGAGTCGAATTAGATGTATGTGGAAAATGTATATATTTAGTTTATCCTCTAAACATTTATAGAGGTGCTGCAATAGGTTGTACAAAATAACCGGAAAAGATAGGAAAGTCATGTGTTGGACACATCAGATTTTTTTAAAGGTAGGAACTTGAAAATTGGAATTGTAGTTTCTCATCATAAATCAATAATGAAGTCTTTTAGGGTTTTTGCATTTTGACATTTTAAGGGGGGAAACGGGGGGGTTAAAATTTGTTTCTAATTATGTATATATTATTTTGTTAAAGTTAAAAACATGAAAATTTAAAATACAGCTACTGATCAAAAACAAATAATGATTTGTTTCATGGTTTTTGGATTTTCACATTTTAAGGGGGGCAAAAATAAAAATAAATATAAATAAAAAATAAATAAATAAATATAAATACTCCTTTCACAGTATTACTAACTTCAAAAATCTTTACATGCGGTAGGTACATTGTGCTATTCTCTTGGCGTTATTGCTATTTTCTAGCTGCTTTCCGTTTGTATGCAATTACTGATTTTTAAAGTGTCTGCAACTAGTGCGTGTACAGATGAAAATGATACCAATGGTGCATTAAATTGTCGTATGTTTATTGAAACCTAATGACCAAGAATATTTCTTTTCGATTTAAGATTGAAATTCACGGTTTGAAACGAAACATCAAATTAACAACATATTTGTTTTTTAATTAATACGTACTTTACAGAACAGTAACTAACGTGGACGTGCCAAAAGCAAAAAGAAAACAGATACGTCACGGTAAATCGTTCATTGTATGGTTAGATTAGACATAGACAGGGCCGCCGAGAGCCAGGTTGGGCCCCAGGACAATTCTCTAGATCGGGCCCCGTGCCAAAAAAAAACTGTTCCTCTTCCACTGAAAAAAGTCCTCACACCAAAAAACTATTCTCCTTACTTTAATTACTTCTTCTAAAAAAAAAAGGTCCTCTACTTGTAGTTCATTTTAATTGAAACTTAACTTCCCCTCTCTCATCTTGTGTCGAATTTCCATGCAGAACAAAAAAAACCTGTTGACGGGCCCCCCTTACAGCGCTGCCGGGCCCCCATTTAAGCCCGGGCCCCGGGAATTAGTCCCGGCTACCGCCCCCTCTAGTCGGCCCTGGACATAGACCCATATGTTTCCTAATATAATAACATATAATACGTTAAGTTTGCTTTTCTCACTCTAGTAGAACGGTAAAGAAACATTATTATTAACTAGAGAGGAATAGAATAGAACAATAGGTGGTGCGCAATATACATGTAATATGCTATACTTGCCATCGAAAAGGCGTGGTTAAACTAATTGTTCTCTTTAAGCTTCTCACGTCCAAATATAATTAAGCATCTAATCTTTATTTTGCTGTGTTAGCTGGTTAACATATTATACTAAAAATAAAATGCATTCGTATACATGAGAAAGATAAAACTGAAAGTGTGTCAAATATTATTGCAGGTACGCGCCAAATCTCTTTTCTGCTACACTATCTTGTTGTTATCTCTTTCTTTTCCTGATTTCTATATAAAAAAATTCGATTAAATTTTATTTTCGTATAGGATCCGCAACCTGCTGAAAAATGGGAAGGCGTTCTTGATGCCACTAAAAATACCAAAATGTGCTTTCAGCAAGGTAATATGTTCAGGATAGATAACTTATTGGAGCTTGAAAATGAAGATTGCTTGTATTTGAACGTTTATAGACCAAAAGTAAGTTGAACTTTTATTTATAATTGTATCGATAATTATTAAGGATACTGTAAAAATAATATGTATACCGTTAGTAGTAAAATAAATTATTGTTTTCTATATACAGTACGTATCAGAAAACTCTTCCCTTCCTGTAATGTTCTATATTTATGGAGGGGGATTCGTCAATGGTGCAGGAAATTTTGATTTTTTTGGACCACATTATTTGATGGAAAATGACGTAATTGTCGTTACATCAAACTACAGAGTCGGACCTTTTGGTACGTATTTTTTTGTTAATATTATGAAGACTAGAGATAAGGAGCCGATTCGGCATACTCGTAATACGATCCCAAAGAACGAACGCTATTTGAGTGATGTTACAAATACATGACTTCTTATGGGAATTTTACATAATTTTGTTAAAATAATTAACATAAACTTATTTATTGCTAATTAAAGCACAGAAAATACTGTTGTATTTATTTCTAAATATGTCTTGCATGTTTTAGTTGATAAATTATTTAATTTAATCTATACACTATGTCCCAAATTGGTGCTGCATGTATTGCTATCTCGGTTATTATAAGAGATACAAAATCGGTTAAATGGACAATGTTTCTCAGGATTCTATTACCATTTCAAAACTGCTATTACATTTTGTCAGTTATTTTTGGTTTTGAATAAATCGCGAAAAACCAAAATAGTGGGTTTTTGACAGTCCTCCGTATCTCGATTATTTGAAAACATACAGTATTTTGGTGTAGACAATCTATGGGCACTTTTTTAAGGTCTTTACAATAAAAAATGAAACAGAAGAATATCTTCTTCCGATTTAGAGATATTGACTATAACTTTGTTTTTTCTTATGGAAGACATATTGGATTTTTATTGCATTAAATAGAATTGTTAATTCCCTTTTTAAAAATGTATCACAACATGGTACTTTCTTTTAGATCAATGCTGAAAAAACAAATCTGAAAATTTCCCAATTAATTTTGATGCTCTGCTCAATTTGGTCTAGTAGGCGAGCCAAAAATATGTTTTAGAACTATCAAACTATAGTCGGTTTAATTTAAACTTTATAAAAACCATATAAAAACAAAGATTTTGCGATAATTTTTGGGACCATTTACAAAACAAGCTTCAGATATAAAATGTCTAATTTAAAGAAATTGTTCTATGTGGCCACTATTTTGATCACAACACATTTGACAACGATTTTGCAGAGAGTTTATTGCTCTTAATAATGTGTTTCTATTCACTGCACCCATAGCATTTCGGACTCTTTCTTCTAAAACTGAAATATTTTCGGGAGATTCAAATGAGTAAGTTTCGTTTTTAATGTGTACCCATAGAAAGAAGTCAAGGGGATTTATATCAGGGGATCTAGCAGGCCACAAAATGTCGCCATTATTCGCAATTAATATATCGAGGAAGTTTTCTTCCAAATAATTCTTTACGACGGCGGCATTATGAGCTGGACAACCATCGTGCATATACCAAATTTGATCCAAGCGGGCATTATTTGTTCTTGTAAGAGCTGAAGATATCGTGCTGCATTTAAATTGAAATTAAAAATTATTGGTCCAATTAATTGATTTCCTGAAAGTAAGAATTTCAATAATTTCATATTTAAAAGTAAATCTCTTTTTATACTTGCCTATTATGCCGCACCAAACATTAAATCCAAATTTTGGTTGGAATCTTCTTTGTAAGGTGAGTTTTGGGTTTTCTATAGCCCAGTGATGGGTATTATGCCTGTTAAAAACTCTGCAATTGGTAAATCGAGTTTCGTCAGTCCATAATATGTTCATGGAAAAATTAGCATTTTCTCGCATATGTTGAATGTACCATTCACAAAATCTTACTCTTCGGAGAAAATAATTTGCCGATAAACCTTGTACAATCCTAGGTTTGTTTGGATGATATTTATATTAACGTCCAGTATTCGATGAGCGAATGACTTAGGGATATCCGTTTCATTACCAATTTTTCTAACCGATGCAATAAAAATCCAATATGGCGTCCATAAGAAAAAACAAAGTTATAATCAATATCTCAAAAACTGAAGGAGAAATTCTTTTGTTTTATTTTTTATTATAAAGACCATAAAAAGGTGCCCATAGAATGTCTAGACCAAAATACCGTATATTCTCAAATAATCGAGATAAGGGGGACTGTCAAAAAACCACCTTTTTGGTTTTTCGCGATTTATTAAAAAACCAATAACAACTGACAAAATGTAATAGCAGTTCTGAAATGGTAATAGAATCCTGAGAAACATTGCCCATTTAACCGATATTGTAGCTCTTATATTAACCGAGATAGCAATACATGCAGCACCAATCTGGGACACAGTGTATAAAATGCAAAATGAGGTAGTTGTAGGTAGTTATAACCATGGTATAAAAATAAAAGGTAGGATATCAACAATGTCAAAAATAGGACGGCCACGCGCATGCCGTCACGCGTAGAGTTTGTATAGGCGCGAATTTAAAAATACTAACGAAGTATGAGGAAAATATATGCTAACTTATAGAAATTTGATTAATTTTAAGGACAATATTTTAGAAATTACTTGAAATATCTATGGATATTAGTATGGGATAGTTAAGGAAAGAACTATGAAGGAACATAAATGCAAATACATACATAAGAGAAATATTTTTTTGAACATTTTTTTCCTTTTTTTTTTTTTAATGATTTATTTTGTTTATACAAACTCGACTTCTAAAGAATAGTTTTTATAACCAGGATAATAAAATAAAGGGTATCTTTGCAACTCGAAACTGGGGATCCTGGTAACAATTTCACATCTGGATATGCCGGAAATTTTTACCTGATTAGGATTTGCGACTCATTTAACTGCATTATTTTACCCAATTGAATAAAAATAAGTTTAAAAAATTTTTTTTTTCATATAAGATAATGCAGAAATTCATATAATGCAAAACATAAAAAATGTACCAAATACAAATAACTGTTACAATACAAAAATAAAATGTCGCTGCATTTTTCCTGAACCTAGTCGCTGCCAGTTTTTAAATCATTCATCAAGTACAAGTCGAAATTTTCTTTTTTTTTTGGTGACATTTACAATTTTATTTTTGCTTATATTGAGAAATTTTTAGCCTTCAAAGGATAGAGTCTCCAGTTTATAAATCCCAAGTTGTCAATTAACCAATGTAATTCACACTGGTTCATTCACAACTTCACATTATGTGAAGTTCTGATTTAAGATCTCTCTTATAATAATTGGAAGGTTAAAAGTGCTTGGAATACATATGAAAATTTATCTGCAGGGTCACAAGCCACTGAAAGGGCTGCTTCATGCCGAATTTTTTTGGGAAGGATGGTAGAATTGCCTATTTAGCATATTTTTTTTTTATTAAAGGCTCATGGATTTTAAGAATTTTATTCTAGGGAATGGCATGCTCCCCTGGACCTCCGCTTGAGCCGCCCTTGGGCCACTTCTTACTTCTGACTAAGCTCTTACTGTTGAGGAAAGCGAAAAACCATAATATCTTTCTTGAATCCTTTCCTTTAATTGTTACTGTTACATCCGTACCGCAATTTTTCAATGTTTTTCATTAAAGCCACTCACAGAGAACAAAGTTTACAACACATATAATACAACTACTGCAACATGCGTCTGTCATATGATATTTATTTCGCGCCAGCTCTGCTAACTCTACGCATGACGTCAGCGCTGCCATGACACCATGCGCGATATCCCCCCCTGGTTATAACATTTAATTTATAACCTGTTTTACAACCTGGAACGAAGGTAATCTTGCTTTGATGTTTTTTGTCACTCATGTTACTTGTACTTAGGTAGTTTTTTCACATTTTTTTTTATAAAAATCTTCTACATCCCCCTCTCACCACTCATCGGAGAGGGAAGCTCCCCTTAAAAAATAATCTAAACGGAAGCTACCTTCCCTACCTCAATTGGAACAATCTGGTGAAAGGGACGACCCACAGAGGCATGGACTCAGTGGGACAGGTAGTTCGCTACCTCGATCAGGCCATGACACCGGAGGAAGCGAAAAAGAAAGCGGTGGAGCACAAATTCCAGGGAGAGGGAAGTAAAACCAATCCTAAGGATCTGAAAAGAAAGCGGGTCGGGAATAACACCACACCACCGCAAAGGAAGGAAATGGAAAGTAGCCGCTACCCCCGCTTCTGGCAGTTATGCTACTGTCATCAAGACGGAGCGGGTCGCAATTCTACCTAAGGGGTTTCCTGAGACTATCCTCAGTGCGAACGAACAACCCTGGTGGAAGAAGTTATGGTAGAAGAGATGTTCGCTGTATAGGAGCATAAGCTCCAATTCGAAGGCATCCACTTCCGGTCAGGAATGGTCTTAATCGACTGTGAAACCCCAGAGTCAGCAGAATGGCTCAAGGCAAAAATCATACACCTGAGCAACTGGAACGGAGTGGAGTTGTGCAGGAGCTCAAACACCTTTTCTGGGACCTGAGCCGTTCTGCGGTATTAGAAGTAACGTAACATTAGGAGAGATTAAAAAATAATTGAGTAGTAGAAGAACCAATTATTGAAACAATCTCTTAGTGCTAAGACAGACTAAGATACTTCTGGGTAAATATAACCAGAAAAGATCGAAAGCCTGCATCTGCCTGAGCAAGAACAGGCTACGTATTGTAACAGGGATCTTTACTGGGCTTTGCCAACTAAAAGTAGTAAACTGAGAGTAGTAGAAGACAGTAAGTGCAGATTCTGTGAGAAGGAGGACGAAACCTCAATTCACATTCTAACTGAATGTGTAGCACTCCAGAATTCAAGGACACTAAACCTAGGAGCATATCAAATAGAAGAGTGAGATTTACCTAACTTAAAGCCACTCCAAATCCTACACTTTCTTGAGAATATAGAATTGGAAAGATCGTTATAGGCATTGAGACAGTTCCTTGCTGCATTATCGACAAAAGGACCACCTTCCCATCATAACATATAAATAAACTTCCGTACGACCCACCAACTACAGTTAATTTGGCGAACTTTATAAAAAGAAGGACGGAAATTTGAAATTTGACCGCTGCCAATTCGCCTCCTTCTTTCTAATCTTCACAGTTAATATTTATTATCATCATCTTTTTTTACCAAAGTATTTTGGTACACTTGGTTTATTAAAAATTGCCTTTAACTTCCCTTATTTCTTCATTATCATCACTATTACACCAATAAATATATTTAAGGATTCTTAACTACCGGCGACCTCACAATTACTGGAAACTTTGGGCTAAAAGATCAACTGTTAGCAATGGAATGGGTGAAAGACAACATTAGATATTTCGGTGGAGATCCCCAAAAAGTGACGATTTTTGGACAAAGTGCTGGAGCAGCTTCAGTATCATTTCATTTAATGAGCAAAAAATCCAAAGGTTAGTATTATGTTCTTTGCGATCATATGCAACCGGACCAAATATTTACTTCATCAATGTTTCTTTTCTATGTTTTGAAGAATCACATAGTTTCTTCTTATTTTCCAAGAGCGGACAGATTTAAAGATTTGTTTATTTAGAGCTAAACTTACTTATATTGTTTAGTTTGTCACTCACTTATTGGATGGCATGTTTTCAAATATTTTAGAAGCTCTGTTTCAAAGCGAATTAGATCACATACAACTGCTGTGAAAAGATGTTATCAGATTTACTGCTAAATAATAATTTTATTTATTTAAATTAGACTGTGGATACCTGAATACTTACACTGTTAAAAGTATTTTTGTACTCATGTACAGGATTGTTTAAAAAAGTGAAAACAATTTGTAACAAACAATTTGGCTGTTTCTAGTATTTTCTTTATTTTTCGAATTTGATATTTTGTTGTAGGGTTATTTAGAGCTGCAATCGCTCAGAGTGGTTCCTCACTGAGTCCATGGGCTTATCAGAGAGAATACAAAAATATAGCTTATGAATTAGCTTCAACATTGGATGCTAATTTTAAAGTTTCAAGTGATTCAAAGGAATTGTTGGCGTTTTTAAGAGGAAAGCCAGCTTTAGATATTAATACCGTTGCTGCAAACTTTAAAGTAAGTAACTAAATACTTTTAAAATTGTAAGAAACTGGCGCAAAAAGAACTAAAAAGCTAATGGGTTAATTTGTAAATTTTAGCAAGGTATTGGCAACGAACAAATAATTCAAGGTTTCTGGTTCACTCCGGTTATAGAACCAAACCACGACAACGCTTTTATATCAAAAAACATGTACGAAACCGTAAAAAATGGCGACATGAACAGGGTTCCTCTAATGATTGGAATCACATCAGAAGAAGCAATTGCTCGAGCAGCAGGTAAGGATTATAAAATTACCATATGCCTACGACAAGATAAATTCAAATGATTTAGTCATTAAAATCTTAATGAAGTTCATTTAATGGCTGTTATAAATGACATATTTAATCTTCTTGTAGATGCAAAGTTTAAGTCGAGAGTACAACAATATGAAAACGATTTGCAGAGATTGGTTAATAAAAACATGCACATAAAAGATGAAACTAAAAAGCGACAAGTCGGCGATGCTATTAGAAAAATATATACGAATGGATTGTTGCAAGATGACCTGGGAAAAGCACTCAGAGTAAGATCTAATGTATTTTTAAACTGAAAAACCTTGACTCCTGGATTTAACTTGGACCCATTAATATTTTTTTTAATTATAAACGATTAGTTTATTAGTCTGTCTGTCATCCGGATGTATATTCATTACCATTTACGAGCATGATATACTTTCACAGATGTTGAGACTGTGATTAATTTGAAATTTACATAATAAGTAACATAAAATAGCTATATTTTTTTGTTTTTAGTATTTCAGCGATATGTCCTTTAATAGAGCTGTTATTACTCATGCAAAACTGCAGTCTGCCTTTAGCGATGTTTACTTTTACCAGTTTTCATACCATGGACCAATGGGTGGAAATAGACCTGCTCTAGATGGTAAAGTAAAATTTATATTGTGTTACTTTAAAATATACCTTGTTTATTGGGGCCATGGTGCAACTACAAATACTTCAATAATCATATTTTTCAATTTTAAAATTTCATAATTTAAATATTTTACTTTTGAAGAAAACAAAATCTCCAATCCATGTGTCACACGGTTTGGAAAACAACCACTCCTTTAGCTGATATAATACCACAATAATTGCAACTCTAACTTTGAGTTTGCTTATTAAGGAGAACGTTATTCATTGCCTATTTTCGTCGTTATTAGGAGTCATCAGTAGGAAAATAATATTCCCACTTCTAATCTCTAATGGAAGCTGTAGGTGGGTAAAATTAACTTGAATATGAAATAAGGAATTTGGCGTCATCTACACTTAATAAACAAAGTCAAAGTTTGCTTCTAGTACCCAGTTTAAGGGAAAATAATCCAAACTCAAATGTAACCAAGACATAAAATTAAGAAACATAAGAAAATCTCAAATCGTCAATCCCTTCAGAAAACAACTACTCTTTGGCTAATACCACAAGAGGCACTGGATTATATCCACTTATGTGTGATTCAATTAGTCCCTCAGTTGTTTGCAAAAAGTGGTACGTCACTATTTTCGCCCGCTCTTTGTAGTTGGGTTTAATAAGTAAGTTGTACTAGAAGTCTAGAGCAATAAAAAATGCCTTTTCTATCGTCCGGTTTTGCTACTTCCTCTGTAGGGATTCCGACCACCTGACCGGGTATTTGCTATACAGAATCTAAAAAAAATACGAAGATACCTGTGACCCGAGAATACAGATCAAGGAGAAGCGCCAGCTTGGTCTTTTCAGTGTACCGTTTTGTAACGCGCATGTGCGAAAATAAGTTGTGTATCACTCAAAATTATGTTATCTGTCAAAGTCAGTCCGAGTTGTGTTTAGTACGTGAGCAATGTTAAGTGATATTTTTTGGTGTTTGTTTTGTGTAGTAATAAGATGAAGATTTTTACACACTTAGGTATTCTAATACAGATTTAAAATGTGTCAAAAAAGTTATTAGGAGAATTTTATCACATGCATAAATATTAAGTATATTGATTTAATCATTTTTGACATTTTATTTTTCATATGTAGGTATTGTTTTTTGTGAAATAAATTTAATAAACAATGAACTGCAGATTTTGTTTATTTTATTTTGAATTTATATTAAAAAAAAATATAATAAATCCGCGTGTTTCAATTAGGATTGGTCAAAGTGGGCGAAATCCCTTTCTTATGGCTAAATTGTAACTTACAATTATGTCAATATAAAGATGTTTTGCCCATTTATTGAATGAATCATACTGGAGTTGATTTTGGAAATATTTGTGCATACTTAAATAAGTACTATTTCTAAAAATTCGTCTATGCCCAGACAGTACACATAGTCCATTGGACGTCCACTTTAGATCTATTTGAGGGTCAGGACGTCCATATCCGGGCATCCAGTGTACGTCCGTTTATGCTAATTAAATTGACAGCTGAATATCGATACCCAGAGAACGTCTGTTTTTGGACTTAATTTTAAGTTTAGTGGTATTTTGATGTCCAGTGGACGTCCATCTTAGGTCATTCTTTATTAAGCCTACCATATAATACCCATCTGTATATACTTGTTTTTTTTAATATAACTGGTCATTAAAAATTGACAAATTGAATCTATTGCATTTCATTCTATCAGCGGAAGTTTGAAATCTTATTCAATTATAACTGTATCTAGTAAACAGTTTTCAAGTGGTTCCTTGGTCGAGCTCGTCTAGCGATTGAAAGCGTAAAACGATAATGGATGTGTCGTGAGTTCGATTCCTGCTCAGGTCAAGCGATTTGTATAGCGGTTTGCGAAAATAATAAACAAATTATTAATAATATAAAATAGTGTGTGGTGAGTTGCGGTTCTGTAAAAAAAGTGGGGATGTGGTCTCAATGGAAATATAATCCTAGACGTTTTTTGAATGTCCAGTATTCGACGTCCAAATATATTCCAGAATTAGACGTCCTCTGAATGGTCAAAAGTGGGCCATTTGTATACTTCACTGGACGTCTATTGGATGTCGGAAGTCCAGAAAAACTCATTTTTGGACGTATAGACATCCAAAATTGTATATCGAATGGACGTCCAATGGATATATTTGTATTGTCTGGGTGATAGCCAGGCCAGGTATCTAACTCTAAATACATAAACCTTAAATGACATCTGGCTTAACTTGGCGGGAAAACACTTTTTTATACAGAAATGAGTGATAAACTTGAAAGTCCTTTTAATATAATATAAATCTAGAAATTCTAAAAATATATAAGTACTTTTTAAACCTAAAAGCTTTGAAAATATATGCACATTGCAAATATTTAGTTAAACCTCTCAAACTTAATGTCTTTTTAATTGTTACCTAAATTTTTTTGGCACCCTCAATTTTATTTACCTTATTTTTACTTAAGGAAAAGGTAATTTAAATTAAATATGGGACTTTTATTACATTTTTAACAATAAATAAACCAAATATTGAACAAATTTTATAGATAAATTATAAAATATTGAACGTCTTTTACTTTTATAACAAATAATTAATTATTACATAATGAATTATACTTTGGTGCAGAAATTTTACCATTGCTATTAACCCTAACTACTTCAATGTAATTAAATCACACTGCAACATTTGCGCATGGACTATAACAATAATTTCAGATAATTTGCCAAACTATTTCGCTCAGTGTAGAAAATAAGCATGTTTTCTCAGCGTGCTAAGTTGTGTATTAATCAAAGTCATGCTGTGAAAAAGGTACATCCGATATCAAAGGCACCGACACCTATTGTCGCTTCTCCTTGATCGGTATTCTCGGCTGTGACGCCGTTGCAACCAAGTTGATTTAATCTGGCAGATAATTATTTTACCAGTTACATATTGAATGGCACTTTCAATTATAAAATTGTCTTTATCTACTTAGAAATATGTCCGATAGTTAAATCGAATGAACTACACCATAACGACGAATAGTTGCAGAAAATAATACCTAAAGCATAATTCTGGAAAAAAGCAAGGAGAAATGCGAAAACACAAAACATACAGAAAGGTAAGCGCGCATTTGTACGTATTGGATGAAATGGACGCATCGGACGAATCGTACTTTTTTTGTAGACATCGTATATTTATGTGGATCGGCTTTCCGTATTTTTGTTCAGGTCAGGGTAATTAAAATACGACAATATTTCTGTTTTTTGTTGACATTTGAAATGAAAAATACCACAGTTTATAGCTTAAAAGAATCAGTTCGCTCACTCGGACTAATTGGATGTTCCAAAAAAACATCCACTCCAGGGATACAAATTCAGGATGCGCAGAAGACTGCTATTTGAATATAGACGGTTGTCATATATTGTATTAGGCATTCCAAACAATTGAACTGCCAGTGGGAAGATTTGATATATCCAAGGGTTGCAACGTACGATAAATTCTGTTTACATTACGTAAAATCATGAATAATGGATTACATTTAAATATTTTATGTCAAACACAATAAAAATAAGATACATTTTTTCATAAATTGGCAGGCTTTGTGACTATTATTTCGAATAAAAAAACACGTTCAAGATGCAAGACTATGTCTCTACCCCCTTAAATATACCAGACCTTCTCACTGACAGCTATTGTTTGACAGGTCGTTGGAATGCTTAATTGGTAATAGTAAGAGAGCCCACTGCAAATTACGACTGCCATCTGATAACAAAATGAAATATGCTCCAAAGACATGTAACAACATTGTACTTTACCAAATTGCACCTGTGTCAATCTGTAATCCAGAGCAAAGTGGTTAAAAAAAATTATTTTATATTCAAAAAATTACATAAGACATGACAGCGATAATGGTGTTTTCTCTGAAAATTACAATCCTAATTCATTGTGAACCTAGCTTTTAATCCTGAATTATTAATATTTTTACCTAACTTTGGCAGAGATAGGTATTCAATAATAATTATAAACTCTTGTTAGACAATTCTTTTAAATCATAATCATGGTAGTTTTTTTGTCGTTTCTATGACAACCTGTAAAAATGAATCACAACAATAGGCATACAAATAAATTATTAAATCAGCAAAAATTTATTCATATTTTTAATGATTTTTACCTACTAATCGTGTGTAGATGTTTTTGTGCGATGTTAAGAGGAAGAAAATGTTTGCCGTTAACGATATATATCAAGATATATTTGAATATGTTATTATCTGGAAAACTTTAAGGGCAAACAAAATTAGCGCTGTCATGCCTTATGTGATTTTTTTAATATAAAATATTTTTTTTAAACACTTTGCTCAGGATTGGGATTGTCACAGGTGCCATTCGGTAAAGTACAATGTTTTTACAAGCTTTTGGGATATATTTTATTTCATTATCAGATGGCGGTAAAAATTTACAGTGGGCTCTTGGGCTATTATGATTTGATTATGTATGCGCCAGGGATACAAATCCGAGTTGCGCAATGTATAAACTGGAACATTGAGATCAAAAGTGTCGACGCAGAGTGAGCGAACTGATTCTTTTAAGCTATAAACTGTGGTCATACTATGTTTAGGGGTTATTCATAAGTTTTCAAACAAGATAATTAATTAGTCTGACAAATGAATTGTCAACCAAAGTCCATGACTATATCAACTAAAGAGGATAGCCGAATTCATACAATTTTTTTCTACACCCGTATTATAATAATGCACTTATATGCCCAAAATCCGTTTCATAATGATACCCATTATGATACAGATTTTTCATTATGATACAGATTTTTAATCAATAGAAACCTACAATTTTTCAATCAAGCATGATGTTTGACGTTTGTCCTAAATTCCTATGTAATTGTTTTAGTTGTCAAAATATGTGTAATTTGAGAAATATTTTTAGATAACATGGCAACAGTATTCAAATTTATTACCTATTTTACTTACTCCTGTAATTTTGAGATGTTTGTAATTTTTTCTCTGGTTAAAATGATGT